GACATAAAACAGAAGGATAGTATTTTCCTAATTACTTCAAATATTTGATAAAAATGAAATTTCTGGATTATCTTTTCTACAGGCTGTAACTTTATTGGGATTAAGGTAGGATGGATATGTCTTTGAGTTGCTTGTCAACTTATATTAGCTGTGTGGAGTTTGCTGGTTAAATCAATGTTATTGATTTATAGTTCTATCTACACATATGGTGTATGAGTTTCTGATCCTATCAAAGTTGTTAGCACCATAAATACTTAGGTGCGGTCAAAGATTGAGCACCATGCCACAAGGTCTATAGCCTATTAACCTGATATGAGTCTATATTTATAGTTTTCCTGGGTATTCTACTTTCTTATGTATTCTTGGATGTGCTAAGTTTATGGTGTTCAGAACCAATTTTAATCATCGGAATGATGACTAGTATAGTTCATTTTCAATGATTCTGTCTTTGCTTACCAGATGGCAAAAGCAAGGACTTGTTAACAATGAAGCAGAATGAGGATGAATGGGTTGAATACAAGAATGTAATGGACGATGTTGTGAAAAGGAGTGGACTTGACAAGAGCATCTTCTATGATCTTAGAGGGAATCATGACAATTTTGGTGTACCCCTTGTTGGTGGTTCATTTGATTTCTACTCCAAGTACAGCATCAATGGGCAGTTGGGAAGAAATGGGCATGTCAATAGTGTCACTCTTCAGGTCTCTCTCTCTCTCTCTCTCTCTCTCTCTCTCTCTCACACACACACACACACACATACACACACACACGCACGCACAAATGATAAGTTTTACACATTATATTCTCAAGCAATTGTTTTAGGTGGAGATGTTATAATCTCTTGAATGGTATACACCTCCTATTTTGATTGCAGGTTTCTTTTCTTCTTTTTTTCTTTCTTTCCTTTTTTTTTTAAAAAAAAAAAAATTCTAATTACTAATAATATGACAGATTGGTGAGCAGAAACATCTGTTTGTAGGTTTGGATAGCACAATGTCAGTTGGTTTACGAGGTCCAACTAATCTTTTTGGACATCCAACCGAGCAACTATTAACTGAAATAGATTCAGAGCTATCACAGTGGAATTCTGAATTGTATAAACCAATCAGCAAGATTTCCTTTGGGCATTTCCCCCTTTCATTCTCAGCATCCTCTCACTCTGGGAAGAGCTTGAAAGATGTTTTCCTCAAGCATTCTCTTTCAGCCTATCTGTGTGGGCATCTTCATACAAGATTTGGAAAGAACTTAAAAAGGCACCACCAGTTGAGTCATCATTTTCTATCCTTTCAGAAGTTTTTCCAGTTTAACATACATAAAATACCCTCAGAAAGCAGTAAAAACTGTTCTTTTGGAGCTCCTTCAGTTGACGAATTCTGGGAATGGGAGATGGGTGACTGGAGAAAGAGTAGAGCCATGCGCATTCTGGCTATTGATAGAAACCATGTTTCATTTGTTGATATTGATTTCAAGTCAGGTGCCAAGAAAACTATCATATTGCCAACATTTCCTCTGGACTCACGTTTCATGTCAACATCTTCATCCAATCACGACTACGAATGTGAATATATGCTTCCATCATCTTATGATACAGTGAGAGCTTTGGTGTTTTCTGTTTCTCCAATTGCGTCAGTTGTGGCTAAGATCTTTGATTCAAGACATGGACATTTTGATATTGTCATGGAAGCACCAATGAGCAAGCATAAAGATGGTGCCTCTAGGGGAGATCTTTATACGGTTCCTTGGAATTATAAAGCATTTGAGGACCCATCTGCTGATAGATTCTGGCTGCAAATAGAAGCAACTGACATCATGGGCAGAACGACTTTGACTGAACTAAGACCTTTTGCTGTTAATGGCCTAGGTGCCAGAGTCTCGTGGACATGGAAGGAGTTTTTTGTCATGGGTTGTCAGTGGGCTGCCTTATATTACCCAATTCTTTGGTTGGTTTTTTATGTACTACTCTTTCTGCTTCTCATTCCGAAAGCTTTTCTTCTTTTTTCAAGGAGGCAATACACATTCAAGAATTTTATTGCTGAGAAAGGCTTCATATATACCATAGTTTGGCTTTTGCAAGAACTCTGCAGGGTTCCTATATTGTGGTTTGGATTTTTGGGATACTTAGTCCACCTTATGTTGTTTCCTTGGATGGTTGGAAAGGTTTTTACAGACGGTGTGGACTGGGGGTACATGACTTATGTGGGATGGGTGGTGAAGTCCTCCAGTGGTCAGGGAAAACATGAATATATTGGATCTCCTGATATCATGGTGGTTGTTCTTCCTCATCTCCTTCTTATATTTTTACCTGCTATGTTAGTCACAGGGGCCTTGACTGCTGAGAGAGGAGCCCATAGGCATCATTTTCTGTCACTTTCAGCCAAGAAAGAAGATGACTATGATAGTCAAACTAAGGTCTCTGCCAAATTAAATTACGAGTGGAGTAAAAGATCAAAGTTCCATTTTCGTGAGCGATGGATCCGGAAAATCCTCTTGGTTCTTTGCCTGGCTATTTGTTGGGTACATTTCAAGGTGAGCTTCCTAACAGTAATCCCTGTTGGATGTATAATCTATCTGTGATTACAGGAGTATTGTTTGTGCACCTCTGCAAGTTTCAAAAATACCATTATAGAAAATTATGAGGGCAATGAACTTCATCTTCTTGCTTGTTCTAGAGTATATATTATAATTCCAACAGTGCTTTGTTTCATTCATATCTATCTCTAACTCAAATTGGTTTCTTTTCTTGTAGAAATGCTTAGCACTCATGAAAGCTTATGAGATGAACCCATTATATTTTCCGGGGTATAGCCTTGGTATTCCATTATTGTTATTTTATGCCATCTACAACACTAAGAAGGCTTAACCAGAGAACGGTTGGTTCACTCACTCTTCTCCAAGCAGTTTGCTGATGCTATTCTGGAAGCAACTTTCTATACTTGATATGGAAGTGTCATGACACTAGTAATG